ATGAGTTACCTCAAGGGAATTGATCAACTTAGTGCTATCTGGCCCTACTATTCCCAAACTTCCCTGGGCCTGTCTCATCTTATATAAAACTAAGGGTTGAGTTGGACTGATCTCTAGATTCCTTCAGCTCTACTGCTTTATGAATTTATTAAGAGATAGTAAGAGCAATAAAGAAATCTGAGCATTATCATAAATAGAACTTTCCTTACTAATTGTGTAGGTACTAATCAATTCCCTCCCATTAACTCTGCAAGGAGAGCAGTATTGTCCCATTTCGCAGAAGAGAAAACTGAAGCTCAGAGGTTAGGTAACGTGTACAAAGTCTCACAACAGGCAAATGATGCATAACAGGCTTGAACCTGGTTGGTCTAACTGCAAACACCATGTTCTTTCTGTATCTCTGAAAAGGGAAAGAAAACACACACACACACACACACACACACACACACACACACACACACAAAGATCCTAGGACTGATAGATTATGATGAGTCTGAGACCAGAACTCCAGTTTCAACTAGTGAGTAGGGCTTCCCTCACTTTACCTAGTCCCATGAGAGCCCCAGTGTTTCTCCTTTTAGCTTCTGTTTATTCGATGGCTGTCTGTTACTTGTGCTGTTCTTAGAATTAATCATCACATTGGGGGTCTTAGCCCACAGTGGCCAGGATTCCCAGACTCTTCAGCATCTGCTACCATTTGGCCAGAATTCACATATAGAAAGTTATTTCCTTTTTTAGCCAGTAAGTGCTCTTGGCTGCAGCAGTGTCTACCACTGGGTTCTCAGCTGCCCAAACAGCAGGCTCTGGTGTTCCATTGATGTCACATTATAACAAGAACAAAAGAAAAAGAAACAGCATTATCATTGGTGGGTCCCATGGTTTCTGGGGACTAGTGGGGCACAGACCATGTTGGCATCACTCTCTAGTTGTGTAACCTCGGGCAAATCACTTAAACTCTCAGTTTCTAACTCATCTGAAAGAATAAGTAAATATATGAAAATGCCTAGAAGAGTCTTTGGCACATAGAAGGCACTCCATAATGTTAGTACTTTGTTTTCTGACAGCTCCTGTAAAAATTCTCAAGCATGATCCAACTATCCAGCTGGATGAGGAATTCGAGAGTGCAACAGGCTGGTTAGTGACCCAGCAAGGATCTCCATGTGGCACCAGGTATCTCAGAGATACGGAAAACATGGGCAATGATTATCCACAAATTAGCTAGTTCACTAGGCATGAAGACCCTCTGGGCAGGGCTGGAGAAGGGAGGTACAAGGCCTGCCTGGATCGGCCCCTCTCATTCCTGTGATAAGGCCAGCCTACTCCTAGCATGTTTCAGCTCAGGCTTATTCTGGGCCTGAGCATACGTCATGGGATTGTTCCCTTCTGAGCAGCTGTGGCACTTTGGAATCCGATCACAAAGCCAAAGGAACACCCACAAAAGGGGTTGGAAATAGGTTCAATTCTCTTTGAAAGAGAAAGAGGAAGTTCTGTACTCTGTGATCTGAGGGGCAGGGACATTTTGACCTCTAACAACCTTGGCCCTTCTCCGAAGTTCTGAATTGTGCAGTTTCCAGGCTAGAGTAAGATTCTGGAAGCTCCTTGTGAAAATGGAGTGTAGAAGTGAGGATATAGCTCAGTGGCAGAGTGCCTGCCTAGCAAGTATGAGGCTCTGGGTTCAATTCTTATTAACCCCCGCCCCCCCCCAAAAGGCAAAAAAGGTGAAGAGATTAAAAAAAATGCGGTGTTACCATTGCATGAGAGAAGCTCTTTCTGGTTCTAGTTCTATGTTTGTGGCTTTACACAAGAGACATTCTTGGGACCTCCCTGAACCTTAGTGCTGTCATGCATGAAACAAAGCAGTTAGACAGGAAGGTTGCAGAGGCCCTTCCAACTCAAAGTTTGGAGCATCTGGGTAGTTTGTGACTTGTCCAGTTAGGATATCAAGTTACTTGCAGAGCCAAGAGGCAAGTCTAAATTTTCTGGTTCCCAGCTTAGAAGTCAGCAAAAGTAGTCCCAGAAAAAAATTATAGTCATAAAAATCAAGCTGTACCTTCTCAGATTATGTCATGGCTAGCCTTCTCTGTAGAAAGGACTTTATATCAAATAAGATGCAATTCAAAGAATCTTGGGCTGAGGACCAAGTGACCTAGATTCTACCTTGTTTTTTTATTTTTGGATGAGTTAAGTGATAGCCATTTTTTAAAATGCCAGGTTGGGGATGTAACTCAGTGGTGCAGCACTTGCCTAGCATGTGCATAGGCCCTGAATTTAATCCCAAGTATTAAAAAAGTAAATTACTTAATCCTCATAAAACCTGATAGGAAGATCACATTAACCTCTTTAGCATATGAAGAAACTGAGGATCAGAGACATTACTTTTCCTCAAGTCCACAACCACCAAATGTGATACCAAACGCCCAGACTCTTTTGCCCTACACTGGAATTAGATCTCTAAGGCCTCCCTGTGCTATTTTAATACCTCTTATTCTGTGACCTTGGAGCTCCCTTTTCTTATGGAACTGAATGTATTGACTGATTTTTCCCCCATTGTTTGCTGTCAGAAAAAAATTGGTTCACAAAGTGGCACCAAGCTGTCATTCGCCAGGAGTTAGCCACTTCCAACAATAGAAAGGAAATCAAAGTCTTTAAAGGAGCTCTGAAGCTTTCCAGGAAAATGGGCATTTTCCTCCCTTTGGCCAGCTTAACTCTTGAGCCCAAGAAGGTGCCTATGGGAGCTAAGTCAAGAGAATGCTGCTGGGAGCCACTGTGGGTGAGTCCTTCTCTGAACAGGCTCAGAGCTTGGCCATGGATCTTCCTGACCCTGAAGACTGCAGGTTTTCCAGTTCCTATCCTGACTGACCCATACAGACAGGCCCTCTGCCTTATTTTAATTGATTGCCCCCAGAAGTACCAAAAAGGCCAGGTAGCACTGTGGCAGCCCTGCTGGCTGCAAGAGCCCAAGACCCTCTACTGCTGTGCCCCTGGCAGCCAGTAGAGGTGATGAGGAGCAAGAAAGGTGTCACTGCCAAAAGATAGGACTGTAGGGTCTCAGATGGAAGAATCAGAGAGGCTTGGGGAGAAACAGAGCCTGGGAAACATGGCCGTGTGCGGGGGTTGGAAGAGCCCTAGGTATCAGTGAACAGAGCAAGATATTCTCCCAGCTCAGTCCATCCTGACTCACTGTCCTCCCCCTTAAGTCACTTCTTTTCCTAGGTCTTATTTTCCTTATCGTCAAAAGAAGGGGATAATTGGCAATCTAAGACACTCTTTTCTCTGGGTCTCTTGCCCTAGGCCAATACTAAGAAGGGATCAAAAAGGAGGCAGCTAAGAGATAAGAACAGTGCACAGTTTTAGGAGCCCACTAAGATATCTCTGGAGTTCCAAGGCAGTGGCAAGTCAGGGCAATCTGATTTTTGTCACTGCCATAGCGTTATGCATGTTCTGTGTCCAGATGAGGGAAGCCCAAAGGGTTCCAAATCAGAAGCTGGAGAATGTCCCTCTTGATGCTCTGCATACGGCAGTCATTGGTGCTCCACACTGGCAGCTGCTGCGTGAGGAAAAGACTTGGAGGGAAAACCAGGGACGGAGACTCAAAACAGCTCCACTGCCCTGGGGAACCTGACAAGAGGGTGGCAAGATTAGGCCTGTCCCTAGCGAGCTCTCAGTCAGGCTCTGGGCCAGGTTGTGCCTCTGGGGGCAATGAAGGAGGAGATGGAGACCACTTGGCCAACAGGTATGACGGTCAGGCTGGGATACCTCTAGCCGCACTGCTAGGCAAACAGTCCCTACACACTGGCCTTGGTCTCTTTTCTGCTCAGTTACGTCAAATTTTGCGTCTCCTGTGTGCCTTTCCAGGGCTCTCCATGCTACCCTTCCCTCTCCCAGGCCAGACAGATCACGGTGTGCCAGAGTCCTGTTCAGGAAACATCCACCCCAGGGATGTGAGGAGTAAGAACCAGGAATCCTTTTATTATAATGGGGTCCTGGGAGAGGGAATGAAGGAAAAACTGAAGAAAGGAACGAACTGAACAAAGGATAGGTATGAGATCCTTGTGTTGGGCATCCTCTTTTCAGTGGCTCCGAGTTGTGTCTGAGGCCATGGGATCAGAGCTTGAACGATGTTACTATTGAATGGAAGCAGGGGGACCATCTACTTCACACCCTAGATAAGGAAACTGAGGCCCAAAAGGGGGAAGTGTCCCGTCCAAGGTCACACAGCCACTGAGAGGACCAGGCGCAGGTCTCCCAGCCCAAGTGTGCACTCAGAGGAGACACGAAGGAACGGACAGAAACCTCTCGGCCTTGTGTCTTCTACCTCCCACTGCAGCCAGGTGGAAAGGAACCCTTCAGGGGCACCTCTCCTGGGCTGCCTCTCCGAGTCACATCAGCCTCCTTTATCTGCTGAGAGGTGCCCAGGTTCTCCTGCAGAACCACTGCATGGTGCAAGTATGATACTCTGCAGAAAACTAAGTAGAGAATATTTTTAAACCATCCAACATGCCTTAGAAAGAAAGAAAAAAATCAAAACACTCCTCTAGATGCTGTAGAAAGCATTTCAGAAAAGATTCCATGCCTAGAGGAAACATCATAAAACTGTGTGTGCGTGCGTGTGTGTGTGTGTGTGTGTGTGTGTGTGTGTGTGTTTTAAGGGCTAATTCCCTCTTAATAAAAGTTCCTGGAAGTGGACTCCTGACCACTTCTAAGAACACAGAACACTGGAACTCCTCAGGCAGAGACTAACCCTGAGGGTCCCCCGCTCAGATTTCTACAGTTCCTTATAAATCAAGAAAGTCATGTACCAGCTACTTCACTAAACCCTCTTCCTTCATATATCCAAATGTCACTGCCACAAGAAACAGTGAGAAGGGCAAAGAATAAACTCACAGGCAGGCACACAGAGAAAGAGCTTTGTTTTTATTCAGCCTCTGAAGCAAGTCCCTCTTCTGGCTACTTCCTATTGACTTTTAGTTTTAGCCCTTAAAGTTCAAGTCCACCCTTACCTGCTTCTTTTCCTCCTCCCTGGAATTCCTGTTGGCTTCTCCACACTCTGGCTGTCTCTTCAACTGCCCACTGTTACTTGCTCTTGAGCCTGTCAGTTGTTCCTCTTCCACCCTCTTTTTAATCCGTATCTGTGGCCTTCCCTCCTCCCACTTCTTCCTCCCCCTCTCTCTCCACCCCCTTTCCTCTCCTAGTCCCTCCCTCCCCCCTCTCTCTTTTGCACTCTTAGAATCTTTGCTCTCATTTGAAGAGAATTCTTCCATCCACCTCCTGTAGCCTCTCCTCCCGGCCCCTCCCCAGAATGAGCCAGAGCCCCTCCTGCCCTGCCGCCCTCCCCCTGTTGCTGTCCTTGTAGCAGAAGCCAATCCTTCAGTCCCTGAGGCTTGTCCCCTTCCTTGGACTGGTGCACTGCCTCCCTAGGCCTGTTCTGGCCACTCTTGTGCCGAGCCTCCTCAAAGTCTCCATGCCACAGTTTTCCTGAGGCATCTGCAGGGAGATTGGTAGTGCCCAAGAGATCCCTCTTCCCATCCTTTTCCTGTCAGAGAAGGGTGTTCACACAAGGAGCTCTTTTGGGACCTCTGTTATGCCCACGTCAGTGAGCTGAGCACCCGCCAGCACAGGAAAACATGTTCTCACAAATCACAACCATTCTGTACCTAGAATAGGGACTGTAGTAGCCAGAAAGGAAAAAGACCTTGAGCTCTCAGTTCCAAATGGCTGAGAGGGCATTCCCTGCTACCCAGGATGCTCTCTCCCACTTTCTTCCAACAAGAAGACAGCACCTACTGTGTACCAGGCTATAGGACTAAGGCCTGTTTTTATTCCACTTAACCATTTCAGTTCCTAATTCTACAAGGTAGGTACTTTTGGCATTTGACATTTGAGGAAACTTAGGCTCTGAGAAATCAAGTAACATGATCATAGTAGCCCAGTTAGTAAGTGGCAGAATTAGGATTAGAAGTTTTAGCTAATGCCAAAAGTCATCCCTTTGTTCTTTCCATAAAAGTATACAGGTCTCTCAATTGGAATTGAACTGCTGAAAGAGAGTAAGGTTGTCTCTTGTTAGATTATATGTCACAGGTCAGCAAATTCAGAACCTGGGAGCATCTCTCCTTAAACCCTTTCCTCCATCATCTTCTTCCAACTCCTCAGCTTAAGCATTTGGCCACAGGCCCAGCCAGGGCGCAATAAATGTCAACAACAGAGGTAACTATGAGTGGACTGAGAGCAGACAAACTGATGACTAGCAGCCCACAAATTATGACAGCTGGAGGGAAACCTCAGGGAGCGTCTGGAACAGCCAGGGAAACTGAGCTACAGAGCCAAGCCTGCTTGTCAGTGTTGCACACAGGAGTGTGTAGATGCAGGATCAGCACTAGATCTGTTTCTCTTTCCACATCATCACTGGAAACAAGTCTTCCCCATACCACACTACTCACAAACATGCCAAGATTTTGCAAACCCTTTTCTTTAATGGGCTGTACTTTCCATAGGTGAATAAGCTTAAGATCAGCACGAAGAGAGAGAGCATGGGGACAAATTCCCTATGTCATGGAGGCAATAGCCCAAGGACAAAGAAACTCAGGGTTCTTGATTCTTTAGCCAGTTTCCCTCTTTTTTCTCTATAGTATCATAGATGTTTTTGAGTCAGCTGGTCTGGGTTTGAATCCTGGCTCTGTGCCTACCTGTGTGACATCGGACAAGTAAACCTCCATGTAGTTCAGTTTCCCCAACTGAAACTGGAGATAATAATATCTACCTCACAGGGCTGTCATGAGGACTAATGGTAGTATAGAGCTCTGAGAACAGTGTCTGATATATATGGGTATGGCATACATATGGGTATGGCAGCAAAGTACAACACAATACACAACCTTGTACTCACCATGGCTGGAATACAATTCTACCTATGAAACCAACAGAAAGCCCTGGCCATACCCAGTTTCTTTTCCAAAACAGAGATTGTCCCCACACTATCACTTAGTCCCTACATCCTACCCACGCTACAAAATAAGGCACCTGGAAGCACCTTATTATCTCTAGCCGGGAAAAACTCAGTTAAAGAACCCATAAAGTAGCTAGGCATTGCAGCACACACCAGCACTTTTTTATTATTATTATTAAATTCTTTTATTGGTACATTGTAGGTATACAACACAATTACATTTCTCATTGGGAACTTGTACCTTTACATGATGCATCTTGGTTCTTATTTTTTCCCCATTCCCTCCCCTCCCTTCACCCCCTCCACCCTTCCCTATTTACAAAGACTTTATTTCCATTTTTTCCATTTCTCAGCATTTTGCCTTTCCCTTCTTTCCTTTCCCCTGCCCCTCCCACTACCCCTACCCCTTTGGACATTTTCTTCCTATTTTGCATTATCGATTATTCATTCTAATCATTGGTACATTTTAGGTATACACTATAATGACATTCATCATTGGAAATTTGCACCTTTACATAGTCTCTCTTGGTTCTTATTTTTCACCCTTGCCCAGCTCTCCCTTCAACCCCTCCAGTCCTCCCTATTTACAAAGATTTTGTTCCTATTTTTCCATTTTCTCATATTAATCCCTTTCCCTTCTATCCTTTCCCCTAGCCCTCCCACTTCCTTCCCCTTTGCCCTTTTTCTTCCTATTTCACATGACCTATTATACATTTAGTCCTTATTTACACTTTCAGTTTCTCACACCAGAGAAACTATTCGGTATTTACACATGTGTGTCCTATTTATTTCCCTTAAGAGTATCGCCTCAATGTGCATCCACTTAGCTATAAATGTCTCTAATTTCTCATTTTTTATGGCTGAGTAGTACTCCATTTTATTAAAAAACCCCACATTTTCTTTATCCAGTCTCCAGTTGATGGGCATTTGGGCTGTTTCCAAGTTTTAGCTATCACAAACTGTGCTGCTATGAACATGGGTGCACATATATCACTGTGGTGTGATTCTTTTAATTCTTTGGGGAAGATCCCCAGCAGTGGAATAGCGGGATCAAATGGGACTTCCAGTCCTAGTTCTGTGAGGTATCTCCATACTGATTTCCACAGTGGTTGCACCAGTCTACACTCCCACCAGCAGTGGAGCAGGGTTCCTCTTTCCCCACAGCCCTGCCAACATTTGTTATTGGTTGATTTCATGATAGCAGCTATTCTTTCTGGAGTGAGGTGGAATCTCAGCGTTGTTTTCATTTGCATCTCTCGAATGACCAGTGATGTTGAACATTTTTTCATGTATTTATTTGCCATTTCTACTTCTTTGTCTGAAAAATGTCTGTTCATTTCAGATGCCCATTTTTGGATTGGGTCTTTAAATTTGGGAGGTCTGATCTTTTTAAGTTCTTCATAGATTTGAGATAGTAGACCTTTGTCTGAGGAAGAGCAGGTGAAGATTATTTCCCACATTGTGGGTTGTCTCTTCACACTGCTACACACCAGCACTCTTAAGCTGAGAGACGGGGATCACACCCCATTCAAGACAAGCTTGGGCAACATAGTGAGTTTCAAGCCAACCTGAACCACATAGTGAGGCCCTGTCTCAAAAATCCAAAAAATTAAATAAATAAAAATAAAAACAAATGCATAAAGTCTCAGTTGGGAGATAGTCTAAAAGTGAGGACTTTAATAGACTATTCATTCCTAGATCATTGGGGGCCAAAGGAGAGATAACAGCCAATGATCAGTTCCTAGGTCATGGGAGATAAAGGGAGCAGGTCGTTTTCCACTGAGTGCACAGGAGGAAGGAGCTGTGTCTGGGCATGTCCACCATTCTGGAGAGAGCATGGAGCACAGAAAGTAAACGTTCTCTAAAGTCCTGCCCTGCAGGTAGAGAATAACGGGGAAACTGGATGGGGTGTCAGAGGCAGTCCAGGGAGGCTGCATCAGAGTGGGCGGGGGCTGAGGGCTCCTATAGGCAGAGCCTTGGCCAGTGTGACATCTGAGACAGAGTGTGCTGAGATGGCCCCAAACTAAGCTGCTTTGGGAAGGACTCTCAGAGTGTGATTTCTTGCCTGATTTCCTCGCGGGCTGAGGCAAGGATTCCGACACATTGAGGAAAATGTCAAATATAGAATGATTCTCCAACGGGACTGAATTTGGCTGTCACCAAAAATGATACTGTGAGCAGATGCCTGATGTCCCAGAAAAGAGGTTAAGACAAGGCGCAGGGGTAGAGCTGGAGTTCTGCCACGCCCTCCCCTTCCTTCTCACATTTGGCCCAAGAAAATATCCTAGAAAGAGGTATTGAGATGTGTGTGTTCCACACATTAAAAATGAGGTTTCAAAATCAACTTTATTAAATATTAACTATGTCCCAGGAGTTGTGCTAGAAACATTTCACATTCTTTTACTTTGAAGTGAAAAGATAGAAAAATAACCTTATAAAAACTATCTGAACTATATACATGTACATCCAGGTCTGAGTAAGGAGTCATTGGCCATTCCTGTGAGCTCAACCTGTGCTAAGTGACAGGAGACAAAGACCCCTGTCCACAAGAAGCTGATAAATTTGTTGCAGAAAGGAACTATTTAGGCAAAACAATTAGCATAAACTCAGTATTCTATACATATTTGTGTCAACAGTAATGATATGATAAAGTCCCAAATTAAGTGAACAAAACAATCATTTGGAAAATAGGTTCATACAGAGTGATCTATCTGTTGTGCTAGAATGGAGAGGAAGGGAATGGAACATTTATTAATAGTCTATGTGTTCGGTATGTTCACCTCATGACACTACAAGATACATAATGTTATTATTTCCACTTTACAGTAAAGAAAATTCAGACTCAGAGAAGTTCAGTAAGTTGCCTGAGACTACGCAGTAATTAGAGAAAAGGTCGGCCTGATGCCAAAGGCCCCACACGGTAGAAGAAATTCTCAGGAAACCCGCTGCCCTAGTGAGAGAGGAAAATACAGGGTCTCAAAGTATGAGCAGACACAGCTCCAGAGAGTACCAGGAGAATGGGCACTGACCTAGAGGAAAGACTCTACTTGGTCATAACTATAAAGTGGCTCAGTTGTTTCTGACATCTCCAAGAAGAGGCATAATCATCTTCTCTACAAGTCTTTTAATGATGGTATCTTGAAAATTTGCTTCTTTTTTTCCTCCTCCTTAGAG